TCAATATACAAATGCATACAGACACATCTCAGGTTAAATTACTATAAGGAGTTCAATCCACGTTAAAAATCTCACTCAATCCCTAGTCTGCAATTAAATGATATAGCATTAAAATCCTGTATGTAGGATTTTAATCCCTTTAAAATCCTGTATGTAGAATATACTGCATATGTTCCCCCTCCTACATGTTTTGGTGTTTTGGGGGAGACAGAAAAATCCGGCATCCAGGCCCGAAGCTTTCTGTCTATTGTACAGTAGCTATTTCAGACCTGTGTGCTTATGTTTCCGATTCCTGGGAAGTTCTTTTTGCCGCAGGGCGTGCCCTGAAACACATCAAAAGAACCAAGTTCTACAAAAGAAAAAAGAAACTCAAGTAGGCTTGAACATACAAAGAGAGGGAGAAAGAGATGAGAAAGGGGCCAGGCAAAGTGTTGAATACAAAATGAGTTCAGGCAACCCCAGGAGCTCTTCATCACTTACATTTATCTTATTCCGTGAGGGGGGCGTAAAAACCAGCCCTGACATAAACCACCCACTGCCATTGACTTTGACTCTATGTGTGAGAGTGAGTGCGTGTGTGTGTGTGTGTGTGTGTGTGTGTGACAGAGAGAAAGAGAGAGAGAGAGAGATGTATTGAACATAAAAATGAGCAGATTTCACGAGGTGTTACTAGTACCTCACAAGAATTAAAAAAGAAAACATTTTACAACACAAATGATCAAAGTTCCAAGAAAATAAATTTAGCATGGTTTTTATGTAACTCCTCTGTAGTGTTTACATCAGAATCTTTGAACTGTGCATTGCTTTAACATCTTTACTGCAGTATCTATATCGCACCTTTTGTACTTGTTATCAGAAAGCATGTGAAATTTTTAATTTCTACTTGCAATGTTTTGTGCATGTTTTATATTTCAGGGCAAAAACTTGTAGTCAACAGCTCTGCAACAAGATAAATTCTCTATGATAAATAAAAACCATAATTAAGTGTCAAGGGTCCAAATAACTGAAGGAATAAAGGAAATGTTTTCTAAATCTATGCTAATTCCATCTTTGAAAGTAAGACCCCCAAATTCTGACCCTGTGTCCTGTTTAAAAGCGTATTGCAGTTGATAAACCCCTTGTGCAAAAGGTCATATGTGCATTTAGGTGACTGTGTCAAGTTTTCTTAACACACTAGGCCAAGCTCTGCTCCAATGGCCTAGTTTGAACATACAAAGTGTTTCAGTTGGCCGGCAGTCTGGAATGAAAGGTACAATCCCCACATCCTATGTACATGTAGTGGAATGTTGTAGTCTGAAGGAACTGCAGTGATCTTTAAACTCATTTACAGGCTTTTCCTCTGTTTTGATTTTCTTCCATTTTCTTAAGCAAATAAAAGAATTAAAATTTTCAAATAATTTACAATGTGGGGACAATCACACCCAATTCTGATACTGTGACATGTCAGTAATTATCAAAGTAAAATTATATCATTTCAATATCATTTGTATAAGCAATTATCCCAAAAACCTGTCTTGAGAGAAAGAGAAAGAGGGTAAAAAGTAGAATTGATAAAAATTAAGCGCGAGTACCAATTCTGAATGTTACAAGTCGTGGTCCAAGTTTTTTCTCCCTTCAAAACCACACTTTTTTCAGCTAGGCGTGGTGGCTCACACGTGTAATTTCAGCATTTTGGGAGGTTGACGTGGGCTGATCACGAGGTCAGGAGTTCAAGACCAGCCTGGCCAACATAGTGAAACCCCGTCTCTACTAAAAATACAAAAATTAGCCAGGTGTGGTGGTGCATGCCTGTAGCCCAGCCACTCAGGAGGCTGAGGCAGGAGAATCACTTGAACCTGAGAGGTGGAGGCTGCAGTGAGCCGAGATCACCCCACTGCACACCAGCTCGGGCGACAGTGTGAGACTTCGTGTCAAAAAAAAAAAAAAAAAACCTTTTTCAAATATACCACACAAATTTACCATATGATTTTATGTGATTCCTTTCTTTTTTTTTTTTTTTTTTTTTTTTTTTTTTTTTTCATATTATACCTCCATTATTTTTATCCATATATTGTATTTTTTTATTGTGATTTCCTTTCTTAAAATTGCTCCCCGTTTTCTGATTAGCATTTATGCCACTGCAAATTGTGAATGCAACAATTGAAAAAGCAGGCAAAAGATTTTCCTAAAGATTAAAAACAAAAATGTAAAAAACTACAACCATCATCACACTGCATCCAGTCCCCAGGTGTGTGGCATTTCCTGGCTGTACAGTTCCTATATCTTCAATGTTAGGGAGAAAAGGAAAAAAAGTACAGCATACCCTTTATGTGACCCTCAGAATCCCAAGGGTCCTTCACTTTGCAGGTTTTACAAGCCAGCCTTAAGGTCAGTGTCGTCTACCATGATGCCCTTGAATGTCAAGGTGTTCCTTAGGATCTAAAATTAGGATGTAAAAATAAATTTAAAATTGTCCCTACCATCAATGACACTGTCACAGACAACAGACAATTAAACAACTCACTATAATATACCAGGTAAGAACTCTAATAGAAGTATAGTCGTGTGTTGCTTAACAATGGAGATCCATTCAGGAAAAAAGCGTCATTAGGTGATTTTTGTCAAAATGTGAACATCACAGAGTGAGTATCCTCACATAAACCTAGATGGCATAGCCTACTACACACCTAGGTTATATAATATAGCATACTGTTCTGAGGCTACAAACCGGTACAGCATGCCACTGTACGGAATACTGCAGACAACAGTAACACAATGGTAAGTATTTGTATATCTACACGTGTCTAAACATAGGAAAGGTACAGTAAAAATATGGTGTTATAATCTTATGACACCATTATTATACACGCAGTCTGTCATTAACCAAAACATCCTTATGCATCGTGTGACTGTATCAGACACATAAAAGAGAACCATACTGCTGTAACGTTCTGTTCTTGGGTGAGAAGTCCTTAAGAAATATTAGAATATCATGGTTTTGCTACAGCAGAGAGTTGTCTGCTGCACAACTTTTTGTTCTTTGAAGCCATAGGGCCCCTCAAGTAAAAATGCCCTCAACCTTTCAAAAGCCTAGCCGGTCCGTAAAACCAGTCCTACCTCCTCCATGATTTCTTCTTTCATTATTCTAAAGCTTTATCTTCCTCTCTGCAACTACTATATCTATTAGTCTTCATTATTTAGCTTAGTACTTGGTTATGTGGAATCTTTAGGTGATTGATATTGTTTTCTGTATGATGGATGTATCTCCCAACCAGATTATGAGCCTATTAAGGGCAGACTTTATGTTGTATACCGGTGCATTTTCTCTTTTCCAAAGTACCTAGCTTAATTTTAACACAATTACAGTAATAGGTAATTAGTAATAGCTTAATTTATTTTTTGGTGGAGAAATGTGTAAATTTTGCAAATGAGTATTTCTTCACACTACATGCTAGTCGAAAATTCCCTAAATGCTTTTTTATGTAGCACCAGTTCTAAAGATGCTAATAAACCTTACTCAAAAACTTAACTTCATGTTGAAATGTTCAAGACGTGTTGATTTAAACATAGTTAAATAAATTATTTAGTACTGGACTTCTCAACACCTTTAAAACTTGTATAATTAAATCTTCAAGAGAGGTAGATAAAATGCAGTGGTTCCCAAATGTGCCTAATGAGAAAACCGTTTTTGAAATTAGTGTTCACAGACCTTGCTTTGGGAATTCTGGTGTCTTCCAAGGTCTTTAGAGCTGATTTCTACACTTAGTTCAGTCAAATTGTTTGCTGAAATAACTGGTTGGTTGATTCAATTAACTGGTAAGTGCTATCAATCCACTAACACAATTAGAAACACTCAGTCTCCTCTAAATCCTGTAACATTAGCAAAGATTTTGATAAACATGAAACCTAGGCACAAGTTCTCCTAACAAGGACATGGAGGTAAGGATCACACTGATCCCTTCTGACACAGGCTGAAGTGAAGATTCATAGTTTGGGTCCACGTTCAAGCTTCTTGCTGTTGATTTATAGTTTTAGACTCTGTTATTCAATGGCTGAAATATACCATCTACTCCTCAAGTTTCAAGAAAAAGGAAAGTTATTTATTTAAGAGCATATATTTAGCTGGGCATGGTGGCTCATGCCTATAATCCCAGCACTTTGGGAGGCCGAGGCAGGTGGATCACCTGAGGTCTAGAGTTCGAAACTAGCTTGACCAATATGGTGAAACCCTGTCTCTAATAAAAATACAAATATTAGCCGGGCGTGGTGGCGTGCACCTGTAGTCCCAGCTACTCGGGAAACTGAGATGTGAGAATTGCTCGAACCGCAGAGGTGGAGGTTGCAGTGAGCTGAGATAGTACCACAGCACCCCAGCCTGGGCATCAGAGCAAGACTCCGGAAAAAAAAAATAAATAAAATAAAAACAGCATATATTAATATGGGTAGGCTAAAATGCATTTGACAAAATCAAATTTGATTCATGATTATAAACATAGTACAATTTATATATTCATTATTTATTGTTAGTGTTTTAAAGTTTATGCATGGTCTGGAACCAATAACTAAAAGTAAAGATGTAAGATTCAAGACCTAAGGAAACAGGCTTCAGGATTTTATGTGTGACTGTATATAGACACCAACTTTGGTAGAACTCTCTGTTGACTCTCCGTGTGAGAACGATACTGACTTTATTTTCTGGTGAAGATATTGAAGGTCTTATCCAGTCTAAACTGCCAAAAAATCCTAATTCAGACCTGGATGAACTCCAAAGCCCTCCCTGATACAGGTTCTATTGAACCAGCAGCCAATATGCTCTGCTTTTTGATGGTTTCCTGGGGTTCAGAAAACCTGTGAAGCCCTGCATGGGAGGGAGGGATGCATCAGCTATCATCATGCTCTACTTTGTTTACAATGGACATTTAAGGTGTAGCCAATGCCTTATAAGTAGTGATAGGACCATGGAAAGCCAAACTTCGTCTAAAATCAACCTTGATGTGACCTTATGTTTTATTTCCCCACAGGCTTCATCCCTGCAGAATGAAACTACAATATCTGAAAGAAGGAATGTTTGGCCATTAAGGCCATGTTTGAAACTTGGCAGCAATATCTGGAGAAGCCAGGCATCCAGTCATGGCCTGCACCAGTCATCACAAATGGGAGGACCCCTGGATGACCCATAACCTCTACCAGCACAAGAGCTGCTGATCTGTTTCCCACCTTATTGATTTCAGGACCCATTAGATCCTGTACTCAAAACTGGTGAGCTAAAGTATTATCTCCTAAATTAAAAACACCTATCCAGTTCAAGGAAGCTGACCTCACCAGGTTGTGACACACAGAAATCCTTGCTGTAATCCACTCATAGAAGAGTAACAACAGGACTGCTGCTTTCAGCCACAGGTCATGGGTCTTGCCTGCACCGGCCTGTTAGCCTTAGAAGGATGCTTCTATGCAGTGGACTTCTTGCCTAGGTGTCCTGGTCAAGAGCACTCACATTGAGGTCCAAGTCTGTACCACAGTAGCTTTGTCCTCAGCTTCTATCTGTGCACGATTTTAAACTCTGGGTCTTAGGACTTCTCATGGCCAAAGATCCAGGGAGACATGAAGGACCAAGGAGAATGTGCCTTGGCAGAACTTAACCAGAGAAAGACAGAGGGCTCTTCCAACTCTTATCAAATCACTGGTAATTGTGGTTAAACATCTTTAGAGGTTTTTATCACAGAATTCTCTCCATATTTCTAAAACAACATTATTTTCATACTTACCAAAATGCGCTACTTTCCTCCACACCAAGGGACATTACCTTTATCCCCAGTGGCCATCAAACGTCTACATTTTGCATGGATTCCTGGCTAATGTAGGGCCTCCAGTTCGAATCCACACTTAGTACATGTGTCATTGTAAACAAAGATCACTTGCATCTTAGGATTACACCTTGGAATTGCAGTGCCTGTATATACTACCCACGACTAAGGTAACTTTGTTTTCCTTATACCCACTTCCACATTGATTTATAATACCTCTTCAATGCAAAACGTATTTTACAAGTAAAATAGGGAAGCATCATATGAAACATCCCAGCCCCTCATGAACTCAATCAATTTTTATTGAGGACCACTATGTACCAAGCACTGTATTACATTTTGGGAACACAATGATGAATGAGTGAGAATCCTTTTCTTAAGAAGTTTGCATTCCAGTGGGGAATCCAGATGATGAAACAGCATGAAGAGTGCTAGAACAGGCTCATGATGGCCATAAGAATTCCCTCATCTCTGTTCCTTAATCACCCAGGGAACTCCCAGTTGCCCAGGCTGATGCACAGGTGATCTATTATGCCAAAGCAACCTAAAAGATGAAAGCCAACAAGCAGCAGTCCAGGGGGAGCCCCTCCAAGTAGTGGTCCCATGGGTTCTTGTTACTAATGTATTATTTCTAAATCATCTGACTTTTAAACAAGTTGGGTGTTCACTTACTGAGCGCCTTCCTCATTATGTCATCAAACTGATAACCCTCAAGTTGTAGCTGCTCACAGGTGAAAATCAGGCTGTGAAGTCAGAAGACATGGCTTCAAGTTTGGGTCCTGGTGCTTACCATGACTGTGGGCAAATCACCTAAACTTTCTGGTCTTTGGTGTCATTCTTTGCAAAACAAAAGTAAAAACATTATATACTGTACCTACCTCACAGGGTTGTTGTGAGAATCAAGTGAAATGTATGTGAAAGCACTTTGTAAGCTTTGTTATTTTTAATCACCCCACTTCCATGGGTTCTTCATCCTCCCTACCAAATACAATACTATAATTCACCTGAAGGATGTACTCTTACCCACTCTGTTCCTACCTCCCACCCCTACACAAGTGAATGGTACAAAGAAGATGAAGTACATGCCTTCCTGGATATCTAGTTTCAGATGGGAATTCTGATACCTCACAGAATGACAAGGAAGTAGTCCGGAGGACCAAAACTGGGGTTCTACTGCCATAGAGACATTTCACCATTAACATACCACTGGACCTGGATACCAGGCAGCCCTCTTGATGGACGATTGCCCCCAGAGAACCCTTTCTTGGCCCCAGAGAACTAACCAGACTGCAGTGGTTCAGGGAATCATCTGGGTTCTTTCTGGCTGCCAGGAGAGTCACCAGCCATTCCAGGAAAGAGCATGCTTCCGAAAATAAAGCAAGAAGATTGGTTAAAGGAGACACTGACCCCATTAAGCAAAATACAAACCATCCCTGACTGCCTGACCTGTGATAAACGGGCTGCCAAGGGAGATTCCTAAACACTCATTTAAAGCAAGGATTCGGTGACACATTTCTTCATTTAGCAGTTTATCCCTGACGCCAACCTGACTCTTGCTTCTCTGATTTTTGATTTGTCGACTCCCTGTCTGCTTAACAGACCTATGATAAGATGTGTTTCTGGCTTTAAAATCCCATATGCTCCCCTTACATACACACAAACACATAAACATCCACACAATGAGGAATGCCACCATTTTTCCGCTCTTACCCACTTGACCAAGCTTAGCCTGGCCTTCTGTTTCTGATTATTTCATATGCATTCTGATTGGCTGATCCAATTTGAGTTCAGTTTCACTGGACCAGTTCTAATGTACCCCAGGCTGAAACCCTGACTCTCTTTCAGTCCTGTGTAGAAGCTTAGAGTGCCCATGGAGTCACGATACCAATATCCAGCAATCCTTTAAACAAAGGGAGGTCTTTCAACTTAGAATACATATACTTGCCCAAAACTAAGGCCATATTGGCATGTATATCCAGGAATAACATAAAGTTTCTACAAAAGTTCTGAGTGAATAGAATGGTGACTATGTACAAAAGATCTGATAGAATTGGCATCCGAGAAGCTTTGTGATAAGGCCTTATGCCTAAAATAGAAAATTTCAACTACAATTCATTCCTTAGCTTCCTAGAGCAAGGAAGACAGATTATAGGGAAAAATCGATTCATTGTTTATATCAGTTTCCAAAATATTTTCAAATGGAATGGAAAATAATTCACAGTTTCCTTCTTGCTATAAGTCAGAATGGCTGACCTGACGCACCAGTTCAGTGAACTGAGAAATTCTGAGACTTTTTCCTATGGCTATAATATTAAAAGTTAATTTTAATACCTAAAAAAGATTAACAATTAAAAACAGTGTCTTATGTTATAGTTTACAACCACTGCTTGCTGTGGGAAGGGAGCCAGAGAGACTCAGAGTACCCGCCACCCAAGGTCAAAGGCACTGAGCCAAAGGATCCAGCAAAGAGCAGGCCCAAGCCAGGAAGAAAAGCTGTTGCTGAAATGACAGACCAAGCATATGAAACTAGATGATCTCCAGGTCATGGTAGCTGAGAAAGGAGAATAGACAGATCCAAGCTGGGAACCAAATTAAGATGTTGGAACAGGTACCAGAGTGAATAAGACTGGGCAGGGGATGGAGTCACCTACAGCCACCTGTTTGTCGTACAGTAGTCTTTCTTGTAGGTTGCAATACTACATCCTAGTTTCTTTTTCACAAGTAAAATCCTTGGTATTACCGATGTAGCTTACATAGCCAGCCCCAAGTAGAAAACTCTTCCTTTCCCACAGACATACTTTTTACTATCTTGGTTGATATAATTTTCTTTCTCAGAGATTTTTAATTTTTTTCATGAATCTTTGATAGATTATTTTATCAATAAAAATTTTGTCAATAAATACTTTTCCTGATTGAACTCCAATTCCTTCTTTGGTGATTAAAGTTGGTAATAAAAATAAATTACTTTAATTAATAGTTTGTCTGTACTTGCTTTCCCAAGGCTATATGAGAGGGAGATGATGTTCTAACATAGATAACATATGAGTAAGCGCAAAACAATTATAGTAAAACACCAGCCCGGGGTAGCCAAGATGACGTTTGATAATGACACACAGTGAACATTTCAAGTTCGCTCCAATCTACAAATTGTACCTCTCTTTCAAAAGTCATAGGGGATCAACTCTCCCACTGCCGCATCAGAATGCAGACTGCCCAGTGAGAGATAGACACTCAGGATGGAAAGGAATAATGCAGGCAGCATTTTGCAGAAAGAAGTGTTTGAATGCAGAGACCAGCCACTCCCCATAGCTGGGGAGAGTGCCAGGCTTTTCAGAGAACTCACATTAGAAGTTTCAGCAGTGGATGGAACTGGGCCAATAGACACAATGGTGGGGAGAGTGGGGAAGTTTCTGTAATTAAAGTCTGAACTCTGCACACTTTCAAACAGACTAAGAGCTCTCTACTATTGGCAACAAGGACTTTTTTTTAAGTGATTGTTCTAACTGAACCTGGTAAGGCATGAATCACTGTGGAAAACAAAGGAAGTCAGTGGAGTACAGACTTTGGGTTAAGAATGAAGAAAATAATCTGAATGGCACCAGGGGAGACAGTTCCATAAGCTCTATAGCAGGAGAGACTGGAAGTTACTAACAGAGGAATACTGCTGTGTGTCTTTTCCAGTATGCCATATATATAGTTAGACTTAAAATGACCGCTTGGTAAATTACAACTGGTTTTTAATCTTTTGTGTGGACTCGGTTCTTGTCTATTGAATTCTTTCATGGTCTTTATAAAACCCAGAATTCATAGAGAACTCTTCAATGTTAACAGAGTATCTGTTGATATGTGAATCAGATAGATGCTAACTGATAATTACAATCAATATTCCAGAATGGTCAAGCAATTCTTCACTTAATAAAATTTATTTTGAACTGAATATATACAATTTATACCAGCAAGATAAAATATCATCTGTTACAGCAACACCAACTCTAAACATAATCCCAAATCCCCGATCTTTCACTCCCCACAAACAAAATTAAATTTTATCTGTATGCTGAAAATCAACACAGAATTTTTTTTAATGGGTCAAACTTTGGTAGTAAGTAAACTATTATTTGAAGCAACTAGTAAGAAAAGGCTAAACTGCTTGAAAGCATTCTTTCTTTCAACTTGTATTGAATGCCAACCAGTCTCAGACACTGAATTAAGCAATGGACATAACATAGTAAGCAAAATCATAGAGTTCACATTGTGGGCTCAGACAAAGACATTGAATAATCATACCAATGAATGTGTACTTACCAACTGAGAAAAATTCCTGAGTAAAGGACTAAGCTACAAGGAGTGTGTATGACAAAGAAACCCAACCAAGTTTAGCAGACTTGCTGGAAGAAGTAAAGCTTGAGCTAAAGTAAGACCAGCGAGCAGAAGTTGAGAAAATAGAAGTGGGGAGTATACCGAGGGGCCCACAACACTCATCTGAGACCTGAAATGCTAAATAAGACCTGAAAGCAGGCTCAAGTGATTACAGCCCTGAAAGCAAAAGTTAGAATGGTAAGAGGTGAAATATATAGGTGGGTAGCAACCAAGCTATGCTGTCTTAGAGACCACACTAAGAAACTTCGTCTTCAACCTAACAGAATTGGAAGCGTCTCAGCTTTTAACAAGAGTTAAGTCTGAAATTTGTTTGCCTGGTTGTGTTCTGTTGTACACATATAGAGTGCTTAATATACATGTACTTAATACATTCTGGATTTCTTTTCCACAATATATTCCAGAGAACAGATACGATATTTTCCTAGGTTGATTATCAGAATTATGACTTAGAAACTTCCACCCAAAGAGGCATTCTGTGATGCGCATTCAAGTGATGCCAAGAATATAGCTACTGTAGCCTTATCATGGCCATAGTGTGTATGGATTCTGTCTTCAAAACAAGGATTCTGTCTTCAAAACAGATTTTTTAAAAAATTGTCTCAATTGCGGCAATACATATGAAAATATTTTGGAAGTTCTGATGAGAGTAAATGAAGGAATCATTACTACTTACTACTCTATAAAGGACCAGCGCTCAATTTAGAATGGAGATACATAACAAAGGAACCTTAGAAAAACAGAGATGTCCCAATTTGCATGCACAGCAGTAGTAACAGTAGGTTGCAGTCTGTCCTCCATCAACCCTTCCCTCACCCCTGCCTTCAGAGATACCTGGTGCCTCCAACAGCTGAGTATCTTCAGGGAGCTAGGGCAGGAACTGATCTTTTTCTCTTTGGCTTTCCCTACAGACTAAGGTATAGGCTTTCTCAGCTCTGCTAAGTCAATTATCACTTGTCCATCTGGTTCCAGACTGTAAAAATTTGTTGATATCTTTGATTTGTTACTGTCTCTTCAGCCATTCCCTTTGTATTCTGCATTTATGCCTTTTGTGTCCTTTTTAACGGTGTTTGAGAAGGGTATCTATGTGTTCAATCTAAAATGATTAACTGAAACGTTCTTATTGTTCTAATTTGCATTTCCTGGTTGAATACTTTTTTCATCTTTATGAACCATGTTTACTGTTCCTTCACGAATTACGTGCTCTTATCTTTTGGCTGTTTTTCTATCAGGAACTATTCATTTTCTTATCAAACTTAATAGTTCCATTTATATGATGTATATTAACTCACTGTGTGTCAGATTAATTGCAAATATTTTTCCAGTTTGTCATCTACCTTTAATTTTTGTGATTTTTATGCATGAAAAATATTATTTTGTTATAATTTACTATAGTTTGTAGTTTTTTATTATTAAAAGTATTATTAATTATAAACATTGTTATTGAATTTATTAAATTAATTACTGAATTACTAAATCTTCCAGCAAGTTTAGGCATAGAATTCCCTTAATCAGCCTGATGTCAGTTCAATGATTACCTACCTTATATTCTAGATATATTTATAATTTCATGTTTTTAGATTTACTTTTTAATTCATCTGGAATTTAATTTTTCATGTAGTATGTAAGGGGAAATATTAGGTTGGTGCAAAAGTAACTGCGGTTTTTGCCGTTAAAAGTAATATAAATAACGAATTGTTTGCCATTAAAAGTAATATAAAAAACTAATTATTAGCATGTATACCATCAAATATTTAAATATAGAATACAATTATGTACAATTTAACATACCATTGAAAAGCAACTATTCATTCTACCACAACCTAAATCCTTATCTAATTATCTACTTTTAGGAGAACCCAAAATAAAATAATTTGTACTGGAGATAGCTCAGGAAATCCATCCATCCTTAGCCCTGGAAATAGCCCTGGAAATCCATCCATAGCAATGAAGACTGCATGGTTTGTGGTAAGTGGGTTGTGACAACCCCTGATAGGGTCAGTATTACTAAGAGTCTCATCTGTAATGAATTGAGACGGAATGCAGGAGGAAGGGGATGTAAAGGGTTTATGCAATATCTCTACTATTTGAGACATATGGCCATAACAGTTGTCATAAAAGACTGCAGAAATGATAGATTGCTTTTGAGTATCATGGATACACCACTGAAGGAAAATGGTGGACTCAAGTCAGCCAATCTCCAACTCAGGACATGATGTTAAATTTAGGAAATCTATATGACACCTGTATCTACCACAATCAGAAGGCAACACAGACTGAAAACAAGGCCTGATTGTGAGAGTAGCAAAATTGCAAAGAAGATTTACTACACAGCCTTGTCAAATGTATTGTGCTAAACTCAAGACCCAGATAGAGAAGAAATGGGAACATGAGGACCAAAATGGGAACATCTGAGTGGATGCACCTGGATCTCTATATTCTGCTGAACCATCTAGGACTCCTAAAGTGACTCACTCTTTGGTATTCAAGAATAGCAAATTTCTCTTGCCTAGAGACCATGCAGAGAATTCGTGTAAGATGCCTTACAAGATAATCATTGTCTTCATCAAGATTCACCTCACCTTTCTGATAGTTTATAGGCATAATGCTAGCTCTAATCTTAGCATGGTCCACCTGCAGAAGTGCCATTCTATTTTGGAAGCAAAGCCCTTATTCACCAAAAATTATACAACATTTAGCTGTTACATTCTGAGAGGAACCTAGAGTATAGATGCCTTAGAATGGATCTTGAGGTGGGTGACTGGGGAAAGGGTATCAGTTAAGACTGGAAAAGGCAGTTTACTAGTTGCTATGGTTTGGATATTTGACCCCTCCTACTTTCACATTGAAATTTAACCCTCAGTATTGGAGGTTGGGCCTAATGGTAGGCATTTGTATCATGGAAGCAGATCCCCCATGAATTGTTTGTTACCAGCCTCGTAGTAACGAATGAGTTCTTGCTCTATTAGTTCTGGAGATTTCCCCTAGAGCTAGCTGTTAAAAAGAACTTGGCACCTCCCTACCCCTACTTCCTCTCCCAACATGTGACCTCTGAATGCTGGCTCCCCTTCCCTTTCCAGCAAGACAGGGAGCAGCCTAAAGCTCTCACCAGAAGCTGAGGTTGTCACCATGCCTCTTGTACAGCCTGCAGAACTGTGAGCCAAATACCTCTTTTCTTTATAAATTACCCAGCCTCAGACATTCTTTTATAGCAATACAAACGGACTAAAACAATAGTATAGGAGAACTCACCCATAACTCAGGATCTCATGTTCAAGAAGTCCTAATATTATACTAGGATGGATTTCCTAAATTTGGGAGAAGTATTAACCTATAATACATGAGGTAGAAATGCCAGAACAGCCTTGTCAAATTTTTGAAAAAAGCGGGGAAAGGCTTAGGCAGGAGATAGGCTTGAATGGATTTAATGCTTAAGACTAGAGACTCCATCAGCTGGCTGACCATTTCCCAGGAGATCCCAGAGGACATTCCCTTCACTAATTTGAAAGAGAGAGTGATCGTATGAGGACATTGGCCTTGTTGAGAGACTCAGTGAATCTGTCCTTGTTAGGCTGAGGTGTATCATCAGGAAAGCTGCCATGAAATACACTAACCAATGTCATTGAGACGATAGGATTCTGGGATAGTAGAAGCCAGGTGGTGTCACTTTACTGTCAGCAGCAAAGTGAATATAATCACTGTATTGGGAAGCAAAGCCAGAATGGAAATCAGAGACCCTAACTCCCAAGGATCTGTGGCAATAGTTTCCAGGGGCACAATAGATAGGTAGTATGGCATTCTTAATAATGGAACCCCTCCAAAGATGTCCACATTTTAATCCTCTGGAACCTATGAGTATATTACTTTACATGGCAAAGGGAACTTGTAGGGGTGATTAAATTAAGAATCTTGAGATGAGGAGATTATCCTGGATGAGCTGGTTGTGCTCAGATAATCACAAAGATCTTTGTAAAGGAGAGAAGGAGGCAGGAGTCAGAGAAGGAGCTATGACAACAGAAACAGAGCTTAGAGAAAGAGAGAAAGAGAGAGAGAGATCTGAAGATGCTAACCTACTGGCACTGAAGACAGAGAAAGGAGATGGGTCAAGAAATGCAAGCAACCTGTGGAAGCTGGCAAAGGCAAGGAAATGGATTCTCCTTGGAGGCTGCCCTGCCAACCCCTTGATTTTGGTTTAGAGAGATTGATTTCAAACCTCTAACTTCCCAGAACACTAAGGTAATAAACTTTGTGTGTTTTTGAGCAACTATGTTTGTCATAGTTTGTGGTGATGGTTCATATTATTTGTCATCTTGGCGAGGCTATAACACTCAATTATTCAATCAAACATTAATCCAGGTGTTACTGTGAAAGTTTTTTAGAGGTGTGGTTAATATCTACAATCAATCAGTTGACTTTAAGTAAGAAAGGTTACCCACAATAATGTAGGTGGACCATGTCAAATGAGTTGAAGGCCTGAAGGGCAAAAATTGAGGTTTCTCGGAGAAGACATTGTGCCTCAAACCTGTAGCATTAACTTCTGCCTGAGTTTCCAGCCTGCTGGCCCACCCTATGGATTTCAGATTCACCAGCCTCCACAATCACATGGGCCAATTCCTTAAAATAAATATATTTTTAAAATCTCCTATTGGTTCTCTTTTCATGGATAATTGTGACCAAAACGTTTGTTTCAGTACCAATAGGAAGCAAATGCAGGTAGCTAAGCAAGGTATTGAATGATCTATATAACCAGAAAGGGCCAAAAGGAGGTAGGACAAATAGCCATCACAAAAGCTATTAACTAATCTGTTTTTTCTAGTTTCTGCACCTGAGCAAGTTTGAGCCAATTAATGCAAGGTATGCCAGGTTACCTTAAGGACTCCTCCAATCCTTTTACAAATGGACCTACAAATAGTTGCCAGAATATACTTGGGAAATTTTTAAAACCCCACAAATATTAATTTTTTAAAAAATACAGGGTATGAGCTGACACTGATAGCAGAAAAAGCAAAATGCCATTATGGATCTTTTGCTACAATGAGAGCATGTGAAGATCAGGTGATAAATAGACTCCTGCCCAAGTTCTTCTGACAGGAGTCCAATGGGCACAAAGGTAATGGTCACTTTTCCAGTCCTTAAGTGTATCACTTAGATGGATGTGCTTAGCAGTTGTCAGAAACTTCACATTTGCTCCCGAACCCTTGGATTAAAAACTATAGTGGCAGAAAAAGCCAAGTGAAAGTGTCTGAAAGTGTACCTCCTCCAAGATACTAAATCAGAAAAATACCACCTACTAGATGAAACTAGAGAGTATCATTCTCAAAGTATGTGTGCCAGTGAAGGATGCAGGAATAGTGTGATCTCCATCATGTGCCTATTTAATTTGATGGTCTGACACCTGCAAAGAATCAGTTGGATCATGGCAGATGACAATAGACTACTGGGAACTGAACTAAGTGGCTTCACCCTTACACATCTCACTAGCCTAATTGAAAAGAAGCTACTTAAATGAAAGTGCCCCTGTAGTATAATCCAATACTCTGGTCTTGTAAACCAGAAATGGAGAATCCTCTGCCCACGGCAACTCAGGGGAAAAGCATCCCGCTTCACTGTCCATAACCAAAGCTGAAATTCTAGTTAAACTATTCCCTGAATTCTTTCTTAGCGCATACTTTGGCTACCCAATGTTGGCTGCTGGGCTACTGCTACACTTATTCTGTAGTTAGTGATCTGGTGAGTTTTTCAGAAAGGCTGATTAGAAGCAGTTCACATTCACTTGGAATGAGCAACAGCATACATTCATGATCTTGACAAGGGGTATGCTAACATTCATTCACAATATAGTTCTTGTGATAAAGGGACCTTTGCCATCTGGACCTTCTGCAGGACATCATTTTGATTAGACCTAGGGAGGAGAAGGAAGTTTTATAAGAAATGCCCTTGTGAGGCATATGGGGGCCCAGGGGGTGTGTGGAGACAAAGTGGCTCCTTTTTGAATCAAATCCACCATACTGACTTCTCATTAGCCCCAGACACCCTGATGCATCCCAATTCCTACTGTATTTACTGTCCCTAGTGTAAGAACATGCCAACCTTGATTTTATTACACAAATTATGAGCTATGACCCACATAGCATTCTTGCTTGTTCTGCCCTTGATTGTCTTGCTGGAGCACATATACCTCTTCCACATGGTATATAAGCCCTGAGACTGGAGAGTAAAACTGTTATCTACCTGTCTAGTGACCACCCAAGACCACGCTTCTGTCTGTAAGTCCCCCAGTAAAGCATTCCTTGCCAACAAACTACATTCATCTGCCTTCTTATTCAGTTTCCCAGCTCCTCCAGCATTTGGGGGCTGCTTTGCCTATATGGCCCTCTCATGGAACAGGGTCAGGGATTCACCTTACAAAGACCAAGAGTCAGCCAGATT